CACATATATACATACACATACTGTATATATACCTAAAAAAAAAATCAAAATTTTTGACTCTAAAGATGCAGTCCTAATGATTGTTTTTAATTCAGTAAATCGTTTAAATGCATTTGGACTTGCATGTTTTTCAGCATCCATTAGGGGATACTGCAACACCCTCACATCCTTAATTCTCACAAGTTTCTGTACAAACTTCCTGCAGAAAAACTCAAATCTAATCAGTTTACTGGAAAAAATAATTAAACAAAGCATCTGGATTCTTAAAACAGTTTATTAGAAAGATGTAGACAGTAAAAAAAAAAAAAAAATTTCCACTGTAATAGGACATTACTTATCTCCCCCTTACATTTTTTGTTTCCCGACAGTGCAAATATGATTTGGTCATCACTTGTTGCAGTTTTGATACTCCCTCACCTGCAAGGGACAAAAGATAAAACAAACCCAGGAAGGATAGCTACAGATCACGCAATGTCGAGGCCGCACCGAGCTTGTGGCCTGTCGGCTGAAAAACATTCACCCTCTGTGAAACGTGCATGTTAGGTTACGTGGGCATGAAGTGAGAGCTGATAGCAAATAGGAAATCAATTAGTACAGTAAATGATCACTGAAAAGATGCAAATCATTAGCCAATGAATTCAGACGTTTCAGATTTGACAAATATTTCACGAGTAAAAGGGAAACATGTAAGCTGTAAAAGTGAAGCTGTTGATACAGATCCCAAATATCTAATTTACAGCACACGGAAGGCATTAGAGGAACCCCATCAACAAACGTGTCTAATTTTTAAATCCTCACATCCACTACACTTGCTGACTTAAACTTAAAAACCACAACATTGGGAAAAAGTGGTTATATTCTCTTTTTTTTTTTTTTAATAGTTCGTTTGGAAACAATTTAGATATCTCTGCTCTCAACACATATTGCTCAGATGAATACAAGTACACAGTTTTCCCCCCAGCAAATAAAAATGTGTGCTTAAGTTGTAATATTCAACATTAAAAACAAGATACTCGAAAAGGTGCAGTACAGCAAATGGACGTGGAAATAGCTGCTCTGTACAATACCATGCAAATCAACTTTAAGTAGACTGACTGGTCAAGAGTTTGGAGCGGAGGCTATGGATTTAAATATGGCTACTGACTCGTATGTACAGCAGTCTCGCACTGCCTTCAGTTTCAAGATATACATTTGTTAAAGACTTCCTCTTATCCCCCCGTTGTTCCACTTTTCAAAGCTTCATGTCTTCTACTCCAAGTCTGGCATTTCTGAAAGAGAAAAAACAAACATCGTGACTTCCTTTAAATACAAATTACAGCTGAAAAAGCAGTCTTTAAAATGACTCACTTACTCTCATCATCACTATCTGCAGAGTCATCCTAAAAAGAAGAAACGAGGAGGAAAGGAAAAGGAGGTTGATAACTTTTACACAAGGTTGTGTAACATGTGACAATGGTTCAGCTCTGCTTCATGATGATTTACTGACAAGTGTGAAAAAGGGTTCTTACATCTGCACCATCTAGATCAGCCAGGTCGTCTTCACCTCCCATGTTGTTCATCATCTGGAACGGCATTAAAAGACATTTATGTCAACTGTACCAAATTTCACCGTCAATTCAAGAAAACTGAAGTCTAATCCTGCAAGTTCACACCATACTGTAATGTGACATCACAGCATTTCTGAATTGTTTACAACTTTACTAATAAAGATGAAAGGCGTAAATCAATTTATATTCAGGGGGAAAATGTATTTATAAAAAGAAATGAGCTGCTAGTGCCATTACATCCATCTTGACTGGTGTTCTGCTGACAGTAACTTAATGACCATACAACAAATTTATAAACATAACTGTCATGTAAAAGATTTGGAGTCTGCACTTCATTATAAGAGGTATATCAGTTGTGGCATCAACAGGACGCCATGCAGTTAAACCAGTTTGACTATGTGACTGTATAAATTAAACCAATGTGTTGAAGTAATTAAATCAGCTGAATGATTAATTACAGGCTTCATCTTAAACAGCAGGTGATTTCTAGCATATTTTAACTCCTGTTACATATTTTATGTCGTCAGCTGTTAATGACACTACAAACTGACAGGTTGCCGTTGATGCTGTGTTCAGTTTACCTTGAAGTCCGACCTCGACTTTGGGAAAGACGCCAGATGAGACTTAACGGCGTTGCAGTTTCAAGTCAGGAAACGAATAGGATTTGAAGACTGATGTACCCAGTGCCTGGGCTAACTAGCATTAGCAAGGCTAGATTTCTCTGCATCTAAACACTGTATGTTCATGAGTAGAGATGGGCAGTGCTGTGTGTAAACTACCAGAAGTGGAAATAAAAAGTCTGCTCTCCATCATGGACCATTCATCCTAAGCTTTTTTTTCAGACTCACTAAGAACGCTTCAGGTTATTCATGCAGTTTTATCTCACCCTTAATAGATCATCTTTATGTAACACACAAATGTTATTTCTAACAATTACATTCATATGATATATACTTTTATTCTCTCTGCTTTTTTTATCTTCTAAAGGCAGTGTTTCCCAAAGTTGGGGTCGGGACCCAAAGTGGGGTCCTTAAACATCAAGGTGGGGTCCTGAGAAGATTTTCTGAATTAATTACATTTTTGCCGTGGTTGTTACAAAGGAGTGAGGTTAGTATATTTAAAATGGATAAAAGTAGTATAAAAATATTGTTACTGTGCCCATATTTAGTTGACCTGATTCAAATGTTTATCATCCAAAAATAGTTGAGGCCACAGGTCTCTGCTACTGTTATTTTGTGGGTCAAAAGCTGAAAAGTTTGGGAACCATTGCACTTTGGTTCCCAAAGTTGGGCTTGGGACCCAATTATGGGTCATGAAGCACCTTGGATAATCTCCAGGAATCAATTTAAAAGGTAATAAAATAATTGCTGATGTAATATTTTCCCTATAATTATTACAAAAACACAAAATAAGTATAAATAAGTATTTATATTTGTGTACAAGCTGTTTAGATTGTCAAAAAGCCTGTGTTTTTAGGGTTATTAACGAAGTTCGTGTACTCAGACCAGTAATATTTGGGGTCACAGGTTTTTGCGATGCATATTTTGTGGGTCAGAAGATAAAAAGTTAGGGAACCACTGTTCTAAGGGATAAATTTCTCATTTCATGAGGTAGAGGCTGGTTGAGGAATCTCAGGCTTTGGTTTAAAAATCAGACACTTTTCTTTGACTCTGGAGTTCCAGTTTAGTCTGACTTGGAGGTTACAACTTCCAAGTACAAATGGAAAACACCACGGTTTAAAAAAGGTGACACGTCCTCCTGCCGGAGAACATTTCACTCCTATTTTATGGAGATAAATTCGAGCATGTCTGATCAGATTGAACCTGTATATGACGTTTTATTACCAAACTCCTCTCTAGATGCTCAGTATCACTTCTACCTGGGTAATACCAGACTGACTGAGAAGGAACACACACTGTCAATGGGCTTTTAGTTGGTACAGTTTGCTTCACTCCTGTGCTCTTTGAGACCCCTCCAAGAAACAAAGAGCTTAGATCTATTTTCAGATGTTTTCCTTTCATTACAATAAATCCGAAATGCTTACATCTGAGAATTGGTCGAAGTTGCCCATCTCCTCATCCGAGTCGTCCTCCCAGTCTTTCCAGTTGTTGAAGTCGACACTTAGCCAACTCAGCTGTGGACATAAAAGACCAACATTACTTAGAAGAGAAATTTGGAGTAAAAAAAAGTCAAATTAGCAGTGACAGGAAGTGTCTGACGCTTCACCTGCCCAAACAGACCAATCACAACAAAACATTTAGTTTGGACTTCATACAGAGACTGAGCCACATCAAAGGTTTCCCTGGACACAATGGCTGTAGGTCGTTCCACCTGCAGCCACAGGTATGTGTGTTTGCACCTCTTAATCAAAAACAATTTTAGCAACTCAAAAAAAAAAAATACTTTAAGACTTTTCCGTCAGCTAGTTGTTTAATTCTCTGTATGTTTAAAGCTAAGTATACTTTGAACACGACTGTGTGAGTATGCCTGACCTTAGCCTTCTCTTTCGTTAGCCTTGGCCATGCCTTCCCCGGCTGAGCTTTCCGTAGATAGCACAAGACCGAGCGATCTGTGCGTTTGTGTTTGCATTGCTGTATTAAGTTGGAAGACAAAACAAAGACAAGTGGTCACCACTTTTAGAATTCATAAATGGCTGCAGTACTATCAAGCATCTATCAATTCAAAACTGCAGTACTATCAAGCATCTATCAATTCAAAACTGCAGTACTATCAAGCCAACACAGTCTGAAGTACTTACGCTCTCGTCGATTGCATCAAAAAGGTCTATTTCATTCTCAAGCTTAGCATTGTCAGTTCCACCAACACAACTGTGAGCACAAAATAATGACATTTTAGTCAAACTTTAAAAAAAAAAAACAGTGAGAGACAGACCTATGCATGAAGACCAAAGAAGGAGAACCTACCTGAAAAAACATTTTGTTTTATCAAATTTGACCGCAACATCTTTGCTGTCTGCTACATAGAACTCTATAAAAACAGAGTCCCTCCTGTCGTACCACTTGGCAGTTGCTGGATGCCTGTGAAGAAACGAGAGAAATTTGCAGCCATCAGCTCTTTCACACTAAACCAAGGGTTTATTTCTCCACCTTTCAAAAAGGAGAATTTGAACTCTTGACCTCCATCAAATTTCTTTGTTTTCAGTCATTTCAAAATCAAAAGTTGGTGACATGAGTTATTAAATGGCCTGCACCCAAAGGCAGGCCAGGCGGTGATCGTGTTTTTTGCCCACGTTTGTTTGTAACATCAGCAAAATATCTCATGAACCTCTAAACAAATTCTAACAAACTTTCAGAAAGGAATCCCTGGACTCTGTCCCATCTCGTCATATTATTTTAGTTAATATCTACTATAAATGGTTAAGAGATGTTAAGCTTTTTGTTAAGCTCACATATTGCGGTGCGCAATATGTGAGAGTTGAAAACTTTATTGTGTAAATAGTCTGCTCAAGGAATCTCCAGACTATTGTTTCCCATCACACAGCTATGTCTAACCATTCAAAAAGTTCCTGTCCCAGGACCTGTAATCCGTTCATGCTTGTTTAAATGCTTCGTAGCAAAACACAGAAGAGATCAGGAGTGTAAATCACCGGCTTTATACGATTATATATCAATTTGTTTGGGTGACGATAGGTTTCTCGATATTACAAAGTCAGTCACGATACGATTTAATCCTATTTGAAAATCTGCAATCGACATGATGCAACATATGCCCATCTAACACAATCCTGACTGTCAGATGGGCATATGATAATCTACATCAAGCATAGGATGACCATGTGGATGAGTGTTTTCGTTTAGCCTTGTTGAAATTGAATCAATTGTTTAATTGATATGGATCGATGTACTGTTACACACTTTGGAGATATCATTATAACCCATCCCAGTTTAATACTGTAAAATAAAGTGCTGCTGATCTATTTTTATATCAACCTGCCCTTATTTCAGCCTCAAGTCACAAATTGTTTTAGCTACCTGTTTCCAAGGGCTACTGAAGTGAAACTAAAGTGAAATATCTGCATACTCAAGCATGACAAGTCAAATATAAAGCATGTTTAAATTTCAAGCCATCCTGACCTGAAAAGTTATGACTCAACACTTGGTTTACTAAATGTGACTTTAGACAAGTGTTGCAACATTTTATTTATAACAAATAGCTTTAGTCTGGACATGTTTTCCTCAGTACAAATTAGTGTAGCTTATCTAGGCTCTCTGAATTATCAGATCATTAAAAAGTGTTTGAAAACTGGTATTAAATTATTGAAAATAACACAAAACCGTAACGAATCGGCGGCAGAGCCCATAGAGATTAAAAGGGAGCCGTAGCTGTTAGGAAACCCAGATTATTGAACTCGTAATGCAGAGATTGTGAGTGGTGTTAATCTAAAGGATAGCCTGTTCCAGAAGTCTCAATGACCCCTTTGCTAGCCATGCTAACACCGTCCAAGCCACGCGGTAACCCAGAGCCACGCCAAAAACAAGGCAACTCTGCAGCTTATGACGGGAAAACCACAACGCGTTTACAGTACAACACTGTGTCTTTTTTGACCGGCTCTTTAAGGTCGAGTTAACAATCATAGTTTCGCAGTTTATTTAGGCAAGGCCAAGCTCCCGCCTTTACGAAAAGCATGTTGTTGGACGGGTAACGCAGTTAGCTATAGCAAACCGTACTATCGCACTTTTCTTACGCAGCGACGTCGCGTTTTCTGCTCACAACTTACATGTCTCTGCGCGAAGAGAGATTCTTTACCGCTGAGAAAACAATCTTGAAGAAAATGTTGGTTGAGCCTGTAAAAGAGGGAACACTCCTCCACGAACAGGACCTGCGCAAACGCCTCTAGCAGCTCGACTCTACGCCGGATATTGTTGCGTGAAACGGAATGAGAATAGGAGGACTTTACGCACGCGGAACGTGCTAGTAGACGTTTCTAGAGCTTTCAGCCACCGCTGCGTGATGCTGCTGTGCTTGTGTTCAGAGTGCTGCTCTTCTACGCACTGTGTGATTAAACCAACGTTAAGGTTTTATCAGTGCTTGCTGAGAATTAAACAATTTGCATTATATGTTCGAAAACAAGTAAATAAACCCCAATAAATTCACACTAAGATGAATGTTTACTTAGATTTCAGTAAAATCTTATAATTAGATTTCTAAACAAAAGTAAAAACACCAGAGATCACTATTATTTAAATTGTCCCATGTGAATATAAAGGTATGGACAAAAAAATTAAACACTTGAGTGTTGTTTTAGAAGAGTTTTAAATAAAGTTTTTGAAATGTGAAGTTCTTAAATATAACTGGAAACAGTCTTCTATATATATATATATATATATATATATATATATATTCTAAACACTAGATCTTGATGTAGGGCTGGATTTTTTAATCATTTTTTCTCCTCCAAATGATTAACAGTAACATGCTGCTCTCTCTGAAATATTTAGTCATTTTTAAATTTAAAGTTTGTAGGAAGACTGCACAGATTAATTCAGTCCGTCAGCCTATTGAAAGTTTATATATTTTTTTACTGTTAAGAGCCACCCATATTGCACTGCTTTAACACTTTTGAACGTTTGATCTTGTTAAAATTTGTTCATTTTCTACTATCATTAGTAGTAATAGTATTTCAGTGTTCAATGTTAATTTCAATGAATACATCTTCAGTGATTGAACTGTTGTCCATTATTTTATGATTTTAACAAGGTTTAACCATGTTAAGATTTGAATCTGTGTTGCACATGCAAACTTTTAGTAATTAGTCTGGATATAACTGAAGTTTTAAAGCTAATGCTAAACTAAAATGCCTCCTGACCACACAGATCATGACAGCTGTCTTAAAATTCTATGCTGACGGCTAAAACACATTTTCAGCATGACAAGAACTAAATTTAAATTTTCTGTAGATTAAACACTGCATGAGAGACTGATTATGTTGAAAATGTAAAACAAAACCATTCATTGTGCATATTTGAATTAAAAATGTTAAAATAAAATCTGCTGACCAAATTTACGCTTGGACTTTATGTATACTTTTATACATAGTGGCAAGCAGAGAATAAAATTTCAATACTACTACAATAAATGTACCTGTCTGTTCTTTGTATTACAAAACATCAGTAAAATTAAAGTTTGCCCAGCTGCAACTTTAACAGTGTTCAACAAACCCCTGTAAAGCATCACATTTAGAAAGCCAAACCATTTCTGAAATACAAAGCTATTTTTTTAAATACCTATCATTCTCTCTCATAAGAACTGCAAAAGTACAACAAGTAATTTCATCAAGACACAACAACTTTATTTCCATCTCGGGTATAAATTGTATAAATGAGCTTTATTCAGCAACCTTTCTTCAACTCTTCGACAGGGTCCCTTTACATCGTCAACTCCTGCAACACAACATAAAGCAACGATCAGCACAGGTTTAAGAACTTTTTATATATATATATATA